TGTGTGTGTGTGTGTGTGCCACGGAGAAGGAAAAAGGGGGGTTGTTTTGGCGTGTCTGAAGGGGTGAGCGCTGATGCGGAATGGCAGCGAAGACAGGCGGCGGGCGACTCTCCTGTGCTCGGTTCAGAGCAGGAGAGAGACGGCACGGCGGGCCTCTGACGGAGCACGTTTTATGGGAGTGTCTGTCTGCAGGAATGCACTCCGCTTCAGGCCAGATTCCACAGCACATTCAGGCTGTACTTGTGGCAATCTGGTTTCTCATCAATACCGTTTGCCCCTTTCTTGACATGATAAACGTGACTCAGGTTTTTTTTCTTCTTAATGCCCGAAGAGAGGATGCGCGCGTGTGTCTGGATCTGAGGTAAATCAATTCCAGTCTGGAGCACTTTGGGAAAACATTAGTCATGGTGCAGGTGCGTTCAAGAACACGTCCAACGCAGCGGAGCAGTAATGCATCCAATCGAGAGCTGATGTTACTTTAGATAATGTGCTTTGCGTTGCTCTTTCTCTACCTTACCCCCGTCTGTCAACCCCAACAGATAAGCAGGTCTCGACAGGGATTGATTTTCAAAGGCCATTCAGACGTCCATTAGACAAATTATGTACTTATCTACTACTATCTACCGAGCCTCTGCTTTGGTAAAACAAACAAACAAACAGTGCCACTCATATGCCAAACACTGCAGACCCCACCCACCTGGTCAGTTAGTGTTACATGCAAAGTTAGTCTAACTGAATACAAGCAGCATTCAATAAACCCAAATAATCAACAGCTTTACCTTTGTTAAAACCACAGGGGTGACAGGTACAAGGTGTCTCTGTTAAGTCTGAATGCTCACATGTGAATTAGGGGAGCTGGATGGACTCACTGTGGGTGCAGTTGATGAGATTACCACCTTGGCTCAGATTAGGCTTCTGCTTTTGACTGAAAACTAAATGGAGGTGGCTCCACTAATCATCCCTGTCTTCGGATTAGCCAGTGAATATTGAGACATGCTGCCCTGAACAGTGGGTTGGTTAACTTGTATAATCTCTAAAACAATAAAAAAGGAACTTAGTGTCGTTTGGCATGTGTAAAGATTAACCCCCCTAGACCACAAAGGCTGTTATTCGAGTAAAAAAGGGTTAACTAAACGTTTTAAATCAGTTTTTCTACAAAAAAAAAAAAAAAGAAAAGGTGCCAGGCCCAAACCAGACTCGGCTGTCTGAAGCAGTGTGTGTGAGACGGCTGGTTTTTTATTTTAAGGGTGACTCAATACCGCAACCTTAAGCCATTTTCTGGATAATAAAAACATAAATTAACCATCTTCTTACAGCTGACATATAATCCAAACATGATAACGTGTTATTAATTGTGTCCAAAACGTCGTTTGTGCTGAGCCATCGCCTCCCCAGACGGTAGGCTAAGCTGTTAGCTTCGCCTTGCTGGCTGAAATACCTGTTTCAATTCATTCACTAAAAAAATATATATATATATATACATCCACATATGAAAAGGTGCAGCTGGGGGTATTTCACAGAGCTGAAATCCAGTTAAAAAGGGCGGAACAAGAGGAGGAATGGTGCACTGAATTATATACAAGAATAAAATACGCTCTCATGTTTCTTACCTTGTCCAGACAATTCACTTTTTCCGTGGGGTAAACGACTAGATTACATCTGCTACACAGCGGATTCATGTTGGTGAGGAAAGCTTCTTCTTAGCTGCAGCTAGCACGGAAACCGCCGATGGATTCACTGGTTGTTGTAGCTGCGCGCCGTCGAGTCTCTCTCTGCACAGGAAAAACAAAAAAAAAAATAGCTATATAGTGTGTACTGATTTGTGATCAGTGGCTGAGACTTTAAAAAAAAAAAAAAACACCCCACTAATCTATTTGTATGTAGCAAAATCCAGGAGGTTGTTGTTGTCGTTGTAGCCGCACAGCTGGCTGTCAGTCCACTAACCAGACACGGAAAGCGCGCTCCCGCTTCCCCCCCCTCCCCTTCGACTGCGCGTGTCCGAGAGAAAGGGAAGAGGTAGTGTGGGAGGTTCAATTTTCAAATCTTTTTTTTTTTTACTTGGAAGTAAGATTTTTTTTGATTGTGATTTCAAAGAGGGAGGAAATACACCGTGTATGCGTTGCACATATTGATCTGAGACTGTCGCCTGGGAGATGAAGCAAACACACACAATCACAAGTGTTTGTGCAGCTTTTGTAAGGAAACTCCAGGTCGATCCTTGTGCATGTGCAGCATGTCTGTCGTCGTCCCATCTGTGCTCTTGCATTGCAAACTCGTGCGATCATCTTTTATTGTTGCATTTTGGGGTAAGGGGAGGGGGGTTTAACCAATCCAGTGATCTCAAATCACATTTTTTACACATCTGCCACGTTCACTGCATGTCCTACTTGGTGTCCGTAGTGATACATTTGGTTAGGGTGACACCTGCTGACAGAAGAGTTGTACTGCCTGTATCCTCTCCTACATAACATGTTCTTTTTAGGTTTTTTATCCTAATAGTGGCTGCCTGTCCCCCCCACTACAGCATCAACTAATATTGACATAAAACAAATCATGAGCCCTGCCAGCTGGAGCGCTGATGGGGAACTGTGTAAAATGTTCTTGCAAAAACAAACAAAAGGTGGAACTTCAAAGAATTAACTTCACCATGGAACTGAAACTGAAGGACACCCACGTCTTTATTCATTTGATGTAAAACAGCATAGTTTATGTATATTTCTAAGGCTTGTCAAACATGTTACATGTTTTATAAAGTAAAAAAACAAAAACACAATTTATTCTAGCAGAGACATACATTTCTAATGAAACCATCCAGTATCATATAACATTCAGCAACCTCATCTTTTTTGCAGAGTCACGAACAGCTTTATAAAAATCAACAACAACCACAAACTGAATCTTTGAAATTGAACTGTTTTGACAAATGTAAATATTTGACTGTTTGTTGAAATCAGTTCAATGTAAATATCTTGTTTATCCAACTTTCCATCCCTCATTTCAACATGGCCCCGCTTCAACAATGCTGTCTTTTTCATGCCCTTCTCCTTCCACTTCTGTGTAGCCAGGTTGTTGCTTCTGAAACTTCCAGGAAGGCCAGTAGTTCTTGCGTCGCTAAAAAAAGAAAACACAAGCACAGAAAAATGATGTTTTAATGCAGATATAAGTAACTACAGTCTGGCTCTCGTCAGGGCCGGATGCACTCACCTGGATGAGGTAAACTGGTGATGCAGTAGTAGGATGGTAGTTGATGTAAAGAGCGACAAGTATCAGAGCCAGAAGTAACACCAGCGCAGCGGCTATACCTGCTATCACTCCTGTGTTAGCCAGCCCTTCGCTCTTGGTTGAAGAGTCTGCCTTCACATCTGTATTAAAGATGAAACCCCCATAATTTTTATCCCTCCATAAAACCATAATGACTCTTACAAGCATTAACTCACCGTTGCCAGTGTTAAATATATGGCGTTTGGTCTCATCTGAAAGAAAATAGAAAGCAGACATTTCCACTTGTTTCACTAAGCAACAAAATGTGCCGTTACGGTCAAAGTACATTATAATGCACTATAAAGTAGCTCAGCCTCACCGTAGCTTTCGCAGCCTTTCTGTAGAGGAGTTAAAGAGGTCACGTCCTCGATCTCTGGTGTGATAGAGGAATCGGTGGAGCTGTCGGCCCTGGTGTAATCCTCACAGGTTGCATCGTTGCTCTGCCCGCATACAATATAATAGATGCATGAGTATTAGAAATGGTAAGTAAGCATACACTCATCCTTGATATCCAGCAATACCTCGTCTGAACAGGCATAGTCCAACCATTCTTGTCTGTGTCTATCCATGCCATCTGAACACCTGAAACACACAAGATGGAAATATTTATAAGGGTTAAAGATGCACTGTCTCATCATTTGGGCTGATGTAATGTCCCACTCACCTCTGGAGTACATTGCACCAGCTGCAACCAGAGGTTAGGTTGGATGTGAGGCAGAGCTCACAGCTGTCGTGTTGCAGGCAAGCTGAACGGACAGACAGGGACTCGTTTGAGCATTGATGCAGTCTAATACGTTGAACATTTGAAACTAATCCTTTGATGTCTTTCTATTAATGATCATGGATATGGATTGACCACTTACTTGGCAGTGCAGTGAACTCCACAGCAGAATAGCTGGTGATCTTTGTAGTGTCTATCTGAACCCGATGGTACTCGTAAATCGTCCGCCGTTGGTCATCTAGGTTAGAGATGTCACAGGGTTAAATACCTGAAGACTCTCTGAACACTGAGTATGACTTTTTGGTGGTGGTGGTGGTGGTGGTGGTGCAATACATAAGTGGAAAGGCATAACACATTATTGTTGACCTGGTGATTGAGTAGAAGGTGACTTGACCATGAAGGCATCAGACAAACCGACCGTCACGGGATGCTCAGCCGAACTGATCACATCGAATGACAGAGGTATCTAATAGACACACAAAAAGATCACTTATACATATATAGTGCCTGGTGGTGTGTAGTTTGAGTGGGATTTTTTTTATGAAATGGCTTTCCATAATAAGGAAGAGAACAGGTGCACAAAGCAGAGGTAAATCTCACATCTCGATAGCTGAACGTGATGGTTCCTGTTTTGTAAAGTGCAGCCTGAAATGTAAACGCTCCCTCTGACTCTTTTCCTTGGAGTCTGACCCGCTCCCACTGCACCACAAACACCTCACCTGAAGACAGTGAATGTCAAACAAGAGTCGGACAAGCAGTCAGACAATCTGAGAAACCACAACAAGCTCAAATACCAGGCAATACCATACCATTATCCAGGTATTGTACAGTGGAATCTTTAGAGAAGCTGGGGTCAAAATTTGCCATTAGAGGGGCGATGTACTGTGTTGCGGTCAGCATACGGTGAGCAATGTCCCCCATGAAGATAAACCCTGAAAAAAAAGGCCAGATGGGAAAAAAAGGAAGACTTGTTACATTGCAAAACACTCCTCTGCTCTGAACATTTGCAGTAAAGGTCACTCGAACATCTGTTATAAAATCAAAAAGTACCTCCTGTTGCTATGGTAATCTGCCTCAGGTAATGTCCATAAAAAGGAAAGTCAAACGACAGGGCAACCCTCTGCAAAGAAAGAAAGAAAGAGAGGGAATGAGATGTTTCAATACAGATTTATATGTTATTTTAAAGTCAACTAAATCCGCAGTTCACATAATGCAGCCTCTTGTTTTGAGGTTATGTTTTGAGTTGCTCTTAAAGGAGGAGGAAGAGAAAGAACCTGTTTGTACTGCACTGAGATGGAATAAAGAGGCTGGTAATGCTTATTTCTCTAGAAAAAGCTATGTTTTGTTTCATTTCTCTATTGAAAGGTCATTTTTATACATTTTAGAATACAAAACTTGCTCACTGACTAATGTCACCACCTGTATGTTCAGTCAATTATTTTATGATCAGCAGTTTCCTGCAATACACCTTCAACGCATTTACATTCTGTTGTTATCTCTCTATACATAGTACTTTTCTTTGGTGCTGGCGGAGTCCACCATTGTCCTACTCCATTCAAATTGCCTACCATCATAGCAGGGATTAAGCACTCCATTGTCAGCATTCAACCATTGACCCTCTATAATGCTGACTTGGTTGAATCATTCATTACTGTCAGTTGGAGAAATCAATGCAAACTCTGACTGTGTGGTACTCAGTTTAAACATAAATGAGGGGGCACCCGGATTTGAACCG